AGGCATATTGAGGGCAATTTGTTTACATCAAGGTTGGCAGAACCATGTCCAGGTCCATAATTTGTGGACTGTCAGAGAAAAATGTTTCTATGTATCATTATAGCTGATATTTGATACCTATGCATCATTACACATGATTACAATAAAAAGAGTATATTGTATTTTCAGTAAGCAAATTTGTGTTATTTAAATGTATAGTAATTTCATGATTGTCACACTTTTACAAATTCTTCCATATTTTAGGTATTGTATTAAATACAACAAATTGAAGCCATAGAGTGACAAAACACTCAGGCGCTCATTTAAAATGCAGAGAGTGGATAGCGATATTTGCAATTTGTTATAAATGAGTCCCACAGTCTGCAGTTCCTGCCTCATTATCATCTGTTCAGATTAGGTATCAGCTATGCAGGGAATGTATTGTTTTCAATAAGCCTATGCAATGAGCTTTTACAGCTACCCCATGCACATATATAATTAAGCATTTTGAGGGTTAACTCACACTAGAAAACCATGCTAAATTCACAGCCACTGGTATGTGGTGAGAAAAACAGTGCTCATGAGCTAATGCATTGCACTGTTTCTTCTTTTATTGTTAAGAACTTTATTGAAATTTCGCAAATTACATTTCATTCAGTTCTACAGCCACAGCACAGTGCGATGTGGTTGTACCACATCGCGCCACACTGCACTAAAAAAGTACTTTGTGTACTGCAACATGGTGCTGCCAGTTGGGCTCACAGTAAACAAGATTAACTGCCTTATCAGTGCATTGCAGCTGTGCAATTCAGGTGTGAATTGACCCTTACATTGAAAAGTACTTTAAAGAAAATTATCATCCACTGATATTATTTACATCAAGCTGATCTCATTGGGGCTGTGCAATTCAGGTGTGAATTGCCCCTTACACTGAAAAGTACTTTAAAGAAAATTATCATCCACTGATATTATTTACATCAAGCTGATCTCATTTAAAGATATTATTAAAAACCATTGAAAATACTTTCCCCTTTCCTTTAAAGGATAAGTTAAGGGTTCCCTCTCCCTTGCAGTGGGAAGTATTGCAGAAGTGAAGTCTGCTGAGTGACTCCACAGCATCACATAAAGGAGACAAGTTTATTCAACAGTATAAACACACATCATGATATGCAGAATGCACTAACCCCTAGGATGTAGCAGTCCGTACTTCAACTTAATCATCAAAAGATGATTTCTGCCTGAAATTACTGCTCTTTGGACTTTACAGGTTTCACACTGCCTTACTAAGTAACTTGAAGTGTACAAGGGAACTGTGTTTCTGTTTGCTTTTAATCCTAACAAATTATGCTCCATCATACCTCCAAGCATGTGTTGGAAATGAATAATTTTGCGATGTCAAGAGACTTACCTGTTTCCAATAAGCGTGCAAATATAATAACATGATACAAACAGCACAGCTTCATGCTGCAATAAAGTTTCTGTAAACTAAGCTCACAAATGTTTCAAAAATTGGCAAGTGGCTGAGCTTTACCAGTACTTAACAAAACTTAGTTGTTTATAAGGATTAATAATGTTAAATTCTAGATGAAAAGAAAACAGCCAAAATCCTTAATGGAAGGGTATAATATTGGAAAGTTTTGATTAAACAATTAGAAGTACTAGTAGTGTACTTGCTGGGAAACAGTCTGTGACATAAAGAACATTGGCCACACAGAGAGCTCTGCTAAGGATTATGTAGATTGAGCTATGCCTGTGAATACCTTACCATTACAGTTTTATTAGGGAAAGTAAATCATACCTAAAACAAATTGTTGGATTTGATGATATGTTGAATGGAGTACATCAAATTGAGGAAAGTGCACAATTATCCACATGTGCTCAGCTACTTTAGATTTTCTTCACAGCATAATGAATCAGAAATACGCTTTAAGTTTCAAAGTGTTCATTACAAAACGAGCAAGAAATGCAGACTGAGTCTTAAATGAAGGTTGCACCCATGGATACAGAAAATTACAAGCATATAACAAAATTGGAAATTAGTATTACAGACTCTGTATGTGTTAAGGGATTTGTGAAGGGCATGGTGGGAATGGTTTAACCTTTTGCATGACTGTGTTATAGATAAATGACCCACATCTACATGAATATGTATCATTATCTCATATTTAGAAAGGATGATTTCAAAAGGAAGGTCACTCTGTATTAAATGCACACTCAGCAGGAAATAGTTTTGTCCAGTTGGTATTTCATTACTTTGAAATTATTTATGTTTAAAGTGAATAACTCTATATGCCTGTGCTCTATATTGAGTTGAATTATTTGCATTAAGAAGAAGCTGTGTTTGCTGTTATTGGATTGCTGTGTATATGTTCCGTGTGCTCTTCTCATCTGACATCTTGTGCTTGTGTTTTTACAGTTCTACTTTCTATAATTACTGTGTCTTACAGATCTCATTTACTCTGTCAGTTTCTGTAACTGGCAAGGCAGACACCTTTGCACTTCAGGGTGAAGCCTATATGTGGTATTGCCTACTACTGTGTATAGATTACAGATATTGATTCAATATAATTTCATTGTACTGTATGTATGTACATAGGTGATGAGGAGTATTTTATTTATCTTTATTCTTTTTACTAAAGACCAACAGCAATATATTTAAAAAAAACACATATAAACAAGAACATCTAAAGTATACAACAGGACATATAACCACATTCCAAACTCACCTCACAAACAAATATAGTAAATATAGTAAAAGAAACAAAGAATCAAAGTCAAATTTTTTGCAGCGACCGACCTCACAGAAAAAAAAACCTGCTTCTATTTAATTATAGTATTTCGGGGAAATAATCCTCTTAGTATATGATGGTGTCAGGATAAAAAGATTGCATACGTAGACAGTAGCTTTCTACATCCATCAGTAATTCTCACTCCATGCAGATCTAAGATTCCAAAGATCACCCAAGCTGCTGGCACAGGTAAATAATTAACTTAGTTTTGCAGAGTATACTGAGCAATATCGTTCCAAAAGGGCAGCTCCGAAATGCGTGATATAAATCTGCTTATGCTTGCCCAAACTTCAAATATATAAAAGAGCAACTAAAGCCTATAATATAAGACCTATGCAGAGTGTTGTAGGCTCCATGATAGACTCCTAATACCATTTCTCTATAGGTAAATGTGTTTATTTTATTGTAATTGTACTCCATGCTGTTAAAAGATTGAAAAATCTCAGTAGTGGATTTATTCAGAAAGTAATTGGTCTACTTAGAGAGACCGGTGTAGCATAATCCAGATCCAATCTATAGCACCTAAACAAGCTAGCTATTGAACCCTTTTTTGGATTAGGTTTTCAAAAGCAGCCAATATAGGGGGTTCTCCCAATTCAAAGGTGAAAGATTTTTAAAAATACATATTGCATAAGAAAGCATCTGTATAAAAGTAAATAATTCACATTTCATGAATGGGGAAACTCTACAAGATGGTTGCAAAAGTAAACAGCTTGTGATCGTAACTGTTGCTAGTCCCTGGGTTGCCCACTCCTTAAAAAGCTGATTACTAGAAGCATGGAGGAAATCCAAGTTTCCTTAAAATTGAAAGCAGAGCAAAGGATGACTGTGTAACTGATGCCTATCTTGAAGTTTGTGCCATACAGTCCAACCTAAATATAAAATCGGATTTGAAACAACCTCCTCAGGCAAACATTTTAGTAATATAAACCCCCAAATAAGGTATCTCTTTACATCATATAAAATGATACAGTATATTGAATTCCACCTGGACCAGGGACTCCTTTCCAGATACAAAGTTTTTGACTTCTCCAAATGTATAGAATATCCTGAAACATACCCGTAAGCAATCTTCTGGGAGAGTGTATTAGGCAATGCCATCTTTGGGTTAGAAATATAAAATAATAAATCATCTACAAAATCAAAATTATCACCTCTTTCCTTCCAACTTTAATATCCTTAAAGTCCCGTAAGGACTCCAATAATCTTAATATAGGATCCAGTGCCAAATTAAACAGGATTGCCCCTCTGCATGTTTAATGGATTAGAGAGTTGGCCATTTATCAAAAGCCTTGTGACAGGTTTTGAAGCAACAGTCCTAACTACTTGACTGTTGTTTCTCCTACAATTGTGTGCCGCCACTAATGATGCCCAACTGTTTACCTACTGGTTGAGGGGGGGTGGGGTAATATTTATTGGAAATTAAGTGAAATTTAGTTTTCAGGAGAAGGCCTGCCAGTCATAACAATTCTAGTCTCCCCATACTGGTTTAGATTAGGCTTAAAGGGCATGAAGAGCCCAAACATTTTTTTGGGATAGAATAGGAAATGTTTTAAAGGAGAACTATGGGGTAATTATTTTTCCCCATAGTTCTCCTCAGGTTTATGGGAGGACATAAACTAGCATCCTCCCGTGACCCAAAGCTCAGCATACCGCGAGCTACAGCTCGTGGTATACTGAGACCGTCGCAGCCAGGGCGGATCCCGACATTACTGTCGAGATCCACCCAGCTGCGTGATTGACAGCTGGCTCTGCCTATCTAGAGGCAGAGCCAGCTGTACCCACCCCTCCCTCGTTCGTTCCTCCAGTCAGCGCTAGAAGATCGGACAGGGGAATCCCTGCAGGAAGCGGTGAGTGACAGTCACAGCTCTCTGCAGGGACATGATTGAGAAATGAGCAAAGTAAACTGTCTAGTTGCCTTTAGTAAATCAACCCCAAAGAGAGGTTAAATCTCCCCATTGGTGATGCACACAATAAAAACCGTCACAGAGGATATTTTGCACATCCCTTTCAAATTAAAACAAAAATAAATTACATAATGTACTCTTTATTATTTTAGTTATTAGTTCTTATTAGTTCTCACTACTGTGAACTGACCGGTGAAATTTCATGATTGTGGGGATCTAATCTTTAAATTGCCTTTTACATATAGTTTACATAGTATTTGAGGTTGAATCAAGATCAAGCTTTGTGTGTGTGTGTATGTGTGTGTGTGTTTGTGCATGTGTGTATATGAGTCCCTGTGTGTTCTACTTTTTAAGAGTACCTGTACCCCTGTATGTTACGGCCTCTGAGGAAGGTATCTAAATCAGAAGACGGGCGGTGAGTCATTACATGCCTCCTGGCTTCCTTAACAGGATTTCCGGGAATTGTATTTGGTATCAGCGAGTACCTAAAAAAATATCAGTGCTCGTAGTCGATACCGAAAAACCAATATTGGTGCATCCCTACTTTTAAATAAGCCTGTCTGTTATCCTTACACTGTACAAATGTGTAGAGAAAAAGTGCTCCATCAATACATTGTGTGTTTTATTTATTTTTAGTTTATATTGTTTGACCTTAAACATCTTGCATTAGCTGTACTCACTTATTTTACTGGCAGTGATGCTATGCTGAAATATCAACTGATCTCCAGCCAAGGATCATGGCATTAGTTTTATACATGATAAATTAGTGATTTCATGCCTGTCCTTATGACCCACAAGCATACCACACGGCTGAGCACCTTATTTATTGATGTAGTAATAAAAGCTTTGGAATGTGATTGATCTGACTATTTGCTGAAAAGAGCATGCATAAATAAAGTATATTAACAGTCTGTCAGTAAACAATGTAATATTAAGTAACAATACCTTAATTCTTTACAAAAGTAATAACTGTATACTTGTTTGCACGTTGAACAAATATATTCGTACATATAATAGATTAAAGAAAATGTTTGTTTGAACTAATAACTAATGTTTGGATGGCATAAAACTTAATTTTAGATTTAAAAAAGTGTAATCACCCAAAACTAAACTAAGTTTATTTTTTAACTGTACTAGGACTAAACTGAATAACAAGTGAACAACAGATTTAAAAATTGAAAATCAATATACTGTGCAGAATTACAGGACTATCATGTTTCAGTTTGTTTTACCTTTTTATAATAATAGAATGAGTTCAATTGACTTAATTGAAAGATGTGCAGGGTTTCACAATGCAGAGTGGTGCTATAGCTGAATATCAACATCTTTTAGTTCATATGATACATTTGGTGTATTTGGCTGTCTCCTGCCAAAGTTCCTCCAATGAAATACATAAAGTTCTGGGCATGGAGCAAATGTGCACACTCATTACATAATGCAGTGATCAGTGCCTAGGTGGCCTAATGTTACATGGGAATGTGTCTAGTAATTTGCAAATATTGACTTAGAAATCCGACATTTGCATAGCAATCGAAGGGCAGCAACAGTGAAGGTGTGGGGTGACTTTGGTTTGTGTGACCCTTTAACATGCTTTTTTAAACAAGTGGAATTTGTTAATCTAGGTATAAATGAATAACAACCCTTTCTATTTTCATGTGGTCTTCCAGATGTAATAGACAATCATATGTCTTAAAGTGTATTTTGCTTTTATCAAACGTCGATATCCTGGACACCCATAGAGATATTTCCTTTCAGCTCCATCATTACCTTCTAGTAGTGTTTACATAGTAATGTGTGTGTGTGTGTGTGTATATGTATACAATAGGGCAGCTGTATTTGTCTTTACATAGTCTGTCTCTGCTTTGTGCTTGGTTATGCAATGATCCTCATATCTGCGCATGTCTGTTTCGGTCAACACACACACATTGCAATCTTACCATACAATTTTTGTACAATCAACTTTACATTTAGCAAATCTTTGTAATATGAGGACCTACTTAATCTATCCAATCAATTTGTATCCAATCAGGCGGGCCCTTCTACTACATAGTTATTTGTGGATCTAAAGGAGATTGTACAATCAAGTAGTACCATTACCATTATACTGTCTTTCAAACAAAACATTGGTTAGTGTACAAAATCCAGAAAACAGTTTTTCACAAAAACCTAGAGTTTTGGGTTTATGTCAGCCCTTCATCATGCCAAAAACTATTCCAGCATCATTTTTTCTAGCACAAGGATACATGCAAACAGGAACTGCTAAATATTGTGAATAGCTAATTTGTCAAACAAGCAGCTTGATGCAACAGATGTATTCAATATAGAGACACATCAACATGCATTATACAGGCGAAGAATACGTAAATGTATATGCACTGGCGGAACTACCAGGGTCGCAGCAGTCGCAATTGCGACCGGGCCCTGGCGTTCCGCCTGTTTGGGGGGGCCGCAGAGAGGAAGCAGACGGCAAGTAGCTCCCTCATGCCGCCGCAATTGCCTCCCCTTCAGATAGTGCGGCTCCCTTCCCTGCCACCCGCAGCAATAGAAGAAGGGCATGTATGGGCGGCTGTGCGGGGATAGAGAGACTGTGTCAGTCACCTGTCAGCCTGGCGGAGCTGCTAACAGCACTGCAGGCACCGCCAGGCGAAGTTTAATCTGCTTGTTTGTTTCCTCCTTCCCCAACCCGAAATCTCAGTTTATACAATACCACGCTGTTAACTGTTTGTGATGACAGATTATAAAGTGCTGAATAGACAAGACAAACACTAGAATATTACAGCGGAGATCTGTGTATGCCAAAAGCCTGGGACGTCTACCGTTCCAGCTCCAGAGAATCTATTCGTCACCCGCACTCAGCATCGGACTGTGACACCTGTCACTGACGCTCAGCATGGCAGGTGATACATAGGGGTCTATTCATGAAGCTGCCGAAGGATCTAGCCATAGCTTCGGCCGATCCTTCGGCTAGCTTCGGCCCCAGGACCCCTTCGGCCGACCCGAAGCAAGCCGTTGTACGGCTGATTTCAGCCGATGTACGGCTGAAATCAGCCGTTCGGCTCACTTCACTTCAGATCGGTCTTTGCCCTCGGCAGCTTAGTGAATAGACCCCATAATAATCTTTACAGCAATATTCACCTTCAATCCGGAGCTGAATTCCCTTCCACCACTAGATGTCAGTGTCAGCCAACCTACGTCTCCTTCCTCTGAACACAGGCAATCATGGACACGCCCCTTAGATGGGGCACTAGTGTAATAGAATGTCAGTAGAATGTGCCCCCTGGTCAAGAAGAGGAAGTAGTTGCTGCAGGAGTCAGGTAAGACTGGTGTGGGTGAAGGCTGGACCAGGAAGGGGGGGCAGGGGAGAGGCTGGTGATACCATTTACATTAGAATGTATTGCTGGGACTTGTAGTCCTGCATAGCTGGTAGTATGCTGCATTGCTGTATAATGATTATACAGCAATGCAGAATAGCACCAACTTTGTAGGACTACAAGTCCCATCAATAGATTACATTATTAAGTAGGGATGCACCAGTGCCAATACTGGGCATTTTCACGAGTACTCGTGAGAATGCCCCAATACTGATTGCAGATACTGGCACCGGTGGAAATACCAAGGTTGCAGTGGTCGCATTTGCGACCAGGCCCTTGTGTTCCGCTAGTTGGGGGGGCCTAGAGGGGACCATAACGCTGGCATTGTTTTGCCACGCCTCCCGGTGCAGGCGATCGCACTGCGGCCGGGGGGCGTGCCATAAACTTCAATGCACCGCCACGCCCCCTCCTACCCCAGAATGCAGTAAGCCGGCCGGGATGCGATTCAGTGCGTTTCGGCACCGAATCGGGCCGAACGTACTGGGGCTGGTGTGAACTAGCCCTGAAAGTCACAACGTACATACGTTTTTTTTTTAAATATTAAAATCATGTTTTTTTGGTGGGGGGGGGGCCTTAATAATTTCTTGCACCGGGGCCGAGGTTTCTAGTACGCCCCTGTGTATATGGCAAGTATTTCATCACAAAGGATAGAGCAGGGGTCCTCAAACTTTTTAAACATGGGGCCAGTTCACTGTCCCTCAGGCATTGCTGGGGGCCGGATCATAGTTTGAAAAACAGGGGGGGGGGTCGTGGCTGTGGTGCCACACTGCCACGCCCCCTCCCATCCCAGAACAAAGGGGGAACTTTAGTGAGCAATTGCTGTGCGTTCCAGCAGCTGCTGCTCTGGTGTGAATGGCGTTACGCTGCAAAAGGAACCAAGACGTTTGGTTTGCCTCGGCATGCGCCCTGACATGAAAGAGCGCAGCTGCGCAGGCCAAACACTGAAGCTTCCGGAACAGCCTGTGTGTCTTCCCTGACACCCAGACGGGGCCGGTTGGAATGATGATCTCTCCCTGGAATCCGCGGGCGGGCGGCCGATTGATTGCTATATGTTGTTTAGGGCGGCTGGGCCTATTTTAACTGCTTGAAGACCAGGTGTTTAGACCCCGTTCCTGTCCAGGCCATTTTTCAGTGCTCAGCGCTGCGGTACTTTGATTGACATTTATTCCGTCCTGCAACGCTGTACTAAAATTAATTTTATACCATTTTTTGGGGGCACATAGAGCTTTCTTTTGGTGGTGTTTAATCACCACTGCGGTTTTAATTTTTTTATATTTCGGGAAAATTACAGAAAATTTTCAAAAAAAGGTTTTTTTTTAACATTATGTTAGGAAACATTTATTATCACCCAATTTTTTGGTAAAACATAAAATACGGGGTCACGTCGGGTAAATAGACACCAAACATGTCAAGCTTAAAAATTGCGCGCATCTCACAAAATCGCAAAAAAACACCATATCCAAAATTGACCTTAGGCGACGCTTTAAAACCTTTTACAGCTCATCAGTTTAGTGTTATCAGTGATTGATGGCCCTAGAATTATTGCTCTCACTGCGACGTTCGCGGCGATGTAACATGTGCGACGATATGTAACATGTGCGGCATAATGGGCACAACCGTAGTTTTCGCAGGTATGCGCACCCGACGCATGTTTGCATGCGTGTATGTATGGGTGGGCACTTTTTAAAAAAAATACATTTTTATTCTTTTTTATGTGTAACTTTAAAAAAATTAATCTTTAATTTTGTTTCCTATTTTTTTCCACTTAACTTTATTACTATTACATAGGGGGCTAAGAAACCCCCTTATGTGATAGCAAAAGATGTGACAGGTCCTCTTTATGGAGACATCAGGGGTCTCCAAGACCCCTAATGTCACCTAGGACCCCTGAAGAAGCTGATGAAGCAGAGATCTGCTTCATCAGCTTCTCTCCAGCGTCTGAAGCTGGAGAGTGACACAAGAATGTGGAAGTGATGTAACATACATCACTTCCGCATTCTTACAGCGGAGAGGGGATCGGAGGGAGGTCTTGTACCGACTCCCTCTGATCCCCTGTGACAGAGGCACTATGCTGGTCACGGGCTCAGCGGGCTCATACACTTGTATGTTAACAGGCATCGCTGCCTGTTTCGAAATTGACTGAATGTCCAGCTTTCCCACAAGTGGGCGTGGCCTATCTAGAGAGCTCCCGGCCGGCCGTTTTTTACAACGGCCGGCCGGGAGGTAGTAAAGGTAGGGGCCTGCAGCTCCCCGGCCTTGACACCCGGATGTGGCCCACCGGCCGTAGTTTGAGGACCCCTGGGATTGAGTATCCATTGCACATTGAACCTAAAAAAAAGCAGAAAAAAATAACAAAATAAGCCACATCATATTGTAAATATATGTAGATTAAGCTCTGTTTTGTTTTGTGTTTTTATAAAGGAAGTGCTACCACCGCGCTGCAAAGGTTAAGTGCTTGTTCATGTCTAGGTTAAAAAAAAAGGTAGATTCATCCAAAACTCCAAGCCATCTTCTTCTTAGACCGGTCCTTCCAACGTCTCTCACCCTCCTCTGCAGCGGTCTAAGGTCCTGTAAATCATCACGTCTATACATGTGTATAGATATAAGGACGCTGAAGAAGATTCCAATGCTGCAGGGAGGGGAAGACATGCCTGAGGGGGTGGGTGCTGTGACAGCTGGCCAGTTCAAAGCTTTGGGTGAGTATAATTGTGTTATTTTATCACCTGGACACAAACAAGCACTTAACCCTTTAAAGGGTTAATACAAAATCCTGGAGTTCTTCTTTAAGAAGCAGCTCATGACCACTACCTCTCCTGTTCTTGGGAGTATGATCAATTATTATGAATTTTAATTGTGATACAGCATAAGTACATTCAAAGAATTTTCTAGCAACTGGTAACTGGAGAAATTGGTCCATGAATAATTTGTCACAGGGATAATTCATATTTACATAAGAGTAAATAATAATTTATCATAGGAATACTTGTGGCATGCAGTTCTGTACGTCACCTTTTGGGTAGTCTCCGAGTTCTGTGCAGTGCTGGGTGCTGGGGGGAGAAAGATAACGTGGACCCTTTCTTAGTTTCTTTCTCCAGCATAAAGTGGAGACATATGGGATCTGTTGAACCCAAATGTCTTATTAAAGAGGACCTGTCACCAGAAGCTTTAACTCCCCCACCCCCGTACACACACAACTGGCTGGGGCTGCTAACACTCCCTAACATAATTAAAAATGCATATGACATTTTTCTTTAAGAGGTTCTTAATGCTGGAGGTATTTCCTGGGCTTCCCAATTATGTGACCACTGTGTATGCATTTCGGGGGGACCAAATGTAAATTTTTCACCGGATGTTACTTTTACACCAAATGTCACTTTATTTAACTGGGGTATATCCTACACCATGAAGCGTTTTATTTAAGGAATTGTGTATTCAAACCTTATATTTTAAAAAAACTGCTCCCTGCGGTATTTTTAAAAACAGTGCATTTATTGGTACATGTTCACCAAAGCAGTGCCCAGTTACCCATGCCCTTTTCCCCAAAAGCTTGCAAAATGGCCTTGAAAAGGTTAAAGAAAAAAAAGAGATTTTGGCCACCTCTGGATATCAATGGGTTTGGAACCACTGCAAACCAAACTTTGCATGATTCGCTCATAGTACTGGGTGAGTATTTCGGCCGGTTTGTCAGCTAGCTAAGGGTCAGGATGTAGCACGGATGTCGGGAGCTGCAGTGAGACACGTCTGCTCAGTCTCACATCCCGGCCACGCCCCGAGAAGCATTTTTAGTTTATTAATTAAAATACTATTAAAAATGTTGCTAAGGTGCAATCAAACTCTCAAGTAGTGGTGATAAAACAACACAAACTGAAAACATTTGTTGTAATGCTGTCTACTTTGTGCCCAGAGAGCAGTCTGTTGAATAGACTATTATACTAGCATGCCTGATCATCAGTTAAGCACTACTATTGCGGTTGATTTACTGAAGCCAAATTAGCTGTTCACTTAGCAAGAGAATTTTCACTTTGCAAGTGGATTTTCCCTTAGATAAGTTATTGTGGTGAAAATTCACTTTGCAAAGAGTACCTGTTCACCAACAAGAAAAAAAAGTATTTACTTGCACATGACTGGGTGTTGGAAGTCAACAGAGCCTCATGTTATTCACTAAGTTGAGGGAAATTTTCTTGCAAAGTGAAAATTCCTTTGCAAAATGAACAGACTGTTTGCCTTTGTTATATCAACCCCATTGTGTTGTGTGTAATGATTTTTCTATAAATGTTACATGTACATTTACCATTGCTGTCCAAGAATTTACCTTTACTTACAAGCTTGTGTAATTCTTTATGGCTTACATATTTTATGTGTGCGAGTAGTGAACAGCACTAGTTTACCTTTTATCACTTTTTTGCTTGTTAAAAATCAGTAATGTGGTACCACCAGATGTAACCTCCAGACACAGGTCTAAATGCTGCTTAACTTGACCCAATTCTATTTTCCCTTTTAAGACTTTTTCCCACTTCCACTAGAAAACCTTACAGATGTGGCATACATCCTATTCTGAGAATAGATTTAAATGTCCCCAACATGTTGTTTCTGAATTGTCTAACATTGCTCAATCAGATTATAAACAACATGAGCATATTGTACTTAACCTCCCAGGTGGTATTCCCGAGCGTGGCTCGGGGCTAAATTTCCTGACCAGGAGCGGTAACCCCGAGCCACACTCGGGTATACCCTGAATTCACTCACCTCGTCCCACGATCCCCGCAGCGTCTTCTTCGCCCGATACCGGCATCTGTCTCCAGCGTACGCTAGCGTCAGTGTCGTAGGGAGGTGGATCCAGCGGGAAATTCAAACGTAAAAGCACCCAATACATACAGAATACATTGTAATACATTGAAAACAGTGCTATTACGTTACTGTAACACATTCTTTCACCTCAGTTTTGTTACTAGAGATATTACCAGTGTTCTGCCTGCACTTTTACTATTCCATTTGCCTGGAAAACTTGAGAGCGTCCATGGCATCAAACAAGCGTCCGCTGAGGTCAAAAGCGGTTTTTGAGCAGCTTGAAAATAGCGATAGTGATGTGGAATCACTTATTGAATTGAGCCACAGCGATGCGTGGGGAAGTTCGTTGTCAGACACTGAAAGTGACGAAAGCGTGGATTCTGTGCCCGAGCTAAGTGATGTGCGAACTTGGTGCCCTATTGATTGTGGTACGGATCATGCAGCGCCCCCAAGATTCCCATTTACTGGAGCATCTGGTAGGAAGGTAGATGTGGAACATGACAACCCCTTGGCCTACCTACAATTATTTCTGACCGATGAGATTATTGATGAAATTGTTACAGAGACCAACCGGTACAATGAACAATCAGCAACTCTGCATCGGAAGTTTTCCCGAAACAGAAAGTGGGAACCAGTGACCAGAGATGACATCTGGAAGTTTCTGGGCCTAATAATTCTTCAGGGAGTGGTGGGGAAACCTCTGCAGAAGTGGTATTGGACAACCAATAAAATACTTGCCACTCCATTCTTTGGCACGGTCATGTCGGGGTATAGGTTTACCCTCATCATGAAGTTTTTACACTTCGCGGACAATGAGGAATTCGACGAAGCCACTCATCCCGCCCCAAAACTGAAAAAAATTTGGAAGGAATCTCAGATGATTGTGAGGAATTTCCAACAAACCTATGTGCCAGAAAGACATCACCATAGATGAAAGTCTAATGGCCTACAAGGGAAGACTCAGCTGGATTCAATATATAGCATCAAAGAGAGCACGATTTGGCGTCAAAACCTATATGCTATGCATATTGTCATCTGGCTACATTTGGAACTCAGTGATATACACTGGAAAAGGAACCAAATTTGATGCGAAATACAGCAGCTATGGAATGGCAACATCATCCGTTCTCTCACTCAGAGGGCCATTGCTGAATCAGGGATAATGTGTAACAACGGACAACTTTTACACATCTCCAGAACTGTATGAGTTCCTTTTCCAACACAAAACGGATGCTTATGGAACCGTTAGGGCTAACCGACGTGACTTGCCGCCAGTGTTTGGCAAGAAGAAGCTGAAGGCTGAAGAAATAGTTGCCTGGCAGAAAGGCAAAATTATGACACTGCGATGGCGCAACAAAAAAGACGTGTGCCTAATGAGTACTGTGCATAATGCCTCCACTGCTATGGTACGCACGAAAGGTCTGAGAGACGTCATGAAGCCGCAAGTAGTAATAGACTACAATACCACCATGGGAGGTGTCGACAGAGCCGACCAAGCCATGACCTTCTATCAAGCAATGCGGAAACAGTAGAAGAAATATTATAAGAAGATCTTCAGGCATCTTCTTGAGCAGTGCTTGTGGAATGCCTACGTTCTGCTAAAAAAACAAAGTGACAAGCCTGTGATGCATGCAGACTTCATCTGGAAAATTTCCGTACAAATCTTTTTGAACCACCAAACGCCATCAGTGAGTAGATCTGGACGTCGTGCTGTTGGCGTTGTCAACCCAGAACGCCTGACTGGTCGTCAGTTCATGGACTACATCCCACCAACAGAGAGAAAGTCAGCACCTACAAGGCTGTTGCTCGTAGCGCGGTGACATCGGCAAAAAAATCAGAAAAGAGACCAGGTTCCATTGTCCCGATTGTGACGTCAGACTTTGTGCTGTCCCGTGTTTCAAAGTTTACCATACCCGAGATGTTTACTGAAGTAATATTGCACCCTTGCTTGGACAGATGTCAGTGTTTTTTGTTTGAATACATTATTTAATTAAATGTATTATTGTTATATTATTGTTTTGTGTAATTATTTCTAATTATTTGTTATATTATAATTTATGATTTCATTTTTCAAACTTTATCATACCCGGGATGTCTATTGGACTCTTGTTTGGACAGATTTAGGTGAGTTATTCCTAAGATTTACTAAGAATCACAGGCCTACAATGTAAAACAACATATTTCCATGAAAAACAATGTACCGCTTTTGGGTTGCTAAAATACTGAATAATCATACTGCAAGGGAGGTTAAAGATAAAAAACATGCATATGTATCAGACAAAATCTTAACAGATTTAAAACTGTAATCTGTTTTGCTTTTAGGGGTTACAGCACTTAGTACTTAGTCAGTGTACTCGGTGTGACTTTAGTGATCAGTATTCATGTTTGAATGTTTACCTGGCAAAATGCAATCCAAACATAAATATGCATTCACAACACAACTCTACAAAGGCAAAAAGGGGGAAAAACATAACTAACCCACCAACCAACCATCCACCCAACCAAAGGTTCTCAGTATTACATTACTACATTACAATTTAACTCTAATACACCAACCATGCTGAAGTTGCAACTGTAAGATTGAGGAATTCCAAGAACTGGGGATTTACATGTAATTTCATTCGGCTGGTAAAGGTAGGTAGGAATCCCACCCCCTAACCCTGCTTAATCATTTAAGAGTCCTTTGGATCTTTACCCACTTTATAAAACTTACAAAGTAGTGTTAACAAGAAGAATGGAGTTTAAAACATTCCCTGATGTATTTATGATTTCTAAATAATCATTTACAGGATCCACCAACATTTATTATGTCTCACATCACCAGAAAAATAAAATGTAAAGTAATTGTCTTTGTCATTTTCTTTATATCTACACTCACATTTGGCTGGAGTTCTAAATAAAATAAATAAAAGCTTTGTGCGGCTTACCTCTGTTTACACTTATGTAAATAGTCAGTATCTGATAATATTAATAACACAGAGAATATTATACTGTGATAGCAGCGTAATGTCTGTGGGCATATTGATTATTATTAGCATAGCAGGGGGCCCTCATGATTATGAACCTCCTGACAGTCAGATAACAACCTGATGTGCCAAGAGTCCTAACAGATATGGGGTACTTCAGGGCACATAAAAAATTAAGGCAGTGTGCTCCAACAAATTGTGGGTATGGTCAGCTGCCACTGTGGTTTAAGTGGACATGGTTAAATAGTGAACTTCAGTGCATACATGTTATTGGCTCTTTACTTTTATGAGATGTTGGAATGGATATTAGGGCTTCTGTGACACTTTAACATATTATAAGCCCTTTTGTGTATTTCTTTTTACTCAAATATAGAATGCAAATTCTCCCATCTTCTGTACAGAAGAGAGTGTATATCCTACCCTGAAAATGGTTGAATGCTGGCTACTCAAGAAATAAAGATGGTGTTTCACTTTTCCAAATCCATTCTAACTTTCAAAACTAGGTATGTCATTCTAAAATGCATTAAGGGTATGTGAATTAGTTGTGAGTTTATTATCTAGGTAACATTGATAATGCTATTGATAAAGAAACAGAAAGCATAAGTAATTAGGCGTTTATGTGTATGTATTGCAATGAAGTGATGTGGACTTATCATTTCTATCTTTATGATAATGTTCACCTGTATCTTCTGGATATTATAACTACAGAGCCTCTGAGTAGAGTAACTGGAACTATGCCATGACACTTTTCAACTACAGTGTACCTCAAGAGGTGTAGCTGGTCTTTTCACAGGCTTTAGTGAACTTACAGCATCAAGATCCACAATATTTTAGTCTTGGGCTCAGGAGGAGGAACCAATGTGACTTACAACAAGCCTCAGATCTGAGACCCAGAGCACCTGGCATTACACCTAGTGCCTGGGTTTACTGATGCCACTATGTGCCAGATTGACATTTTTCAGGACAGTGGAGTACTTCTTTTTAAAAATATAATGTAAACAAAAAAGTGGTGGAATGGCAGGTGTTAACCTCCTGAACAGGATCACAAGAATAGTTTAGGCACTTTGCCAATGGAGCAACTTCTAAGAGCTTTGCTAATGGTCCCATGCAGCCTTTTTAAACTGATTGTTCTCCCTCATGCAGTGTCTGATTACAGCTAGTGAATAGACAGGGTAATGTATGTAAATTTTAATCGCAGTGTAATAAAACCTACATTGACATTTAAGTTGCATTATATAATTTCTCAATCTCTAAAATCACCTCTACCCTCTTTGAACATTGTTCTTCTGGCAAGCCTCTGCCTCTGAAATACTAAAATATTTAGTTTCCTACGCTGCTCTACCATAGATAGATAGATAGATAGATAGATAGATAGATAGATAGATAGATAGATAGATAGCCAGGGAGGCAGGCAGACATACAGATAGACAGAAAGTTAATTTACTTTACACACAGGAGAAAGTCAAATATCAAAAGTATTGTAGTTATAAGCAGCAAAGGTATATAAACATGACAACAGCAATTTGTGGGTTAACATTATTACATATTTTTCTCCTGTGCAGTATAAAGCATGAAAAGAACACAAATTATCTTTCCCCAGATGAAAGAATGCAAAAATGAAATTAGTTATGTCTAGAATTCTAATGTGCACTTCTTATTCAAACTAAAAACATACTTTTACATTGAAACAACATAGTTAATATGAAAGACGCAATACATAAACCAAAACATGGACATTTTGTAGTACTATATGTAACCACTTTTGTAATGTTATATTCATAAATCCCTGTTCTGGCTTTAATAATTCTGATCTTTCTTGTCAATGCATAAAAGATGTTTACAGGGCTTGCATTAGCCTGCAATTTTAAATACAATCCATTTATTCCTTCCTTTTAACAACATCATTGCAAAGTCTGCATTAGGGATCTTCATCTCACTATTGAGATAAATAAATAAGTGTGCCATTTGTTTTTAGACAACAAATATAGATGGGAGGTCTTAGCATATGCTTGCATTGTGCTGCTTATCTGTTATAAATGGAAATTACAGCATGTCTTATTTGACAAGTGAAAAAGTAAAAGAAAACATATAGAAATATATGCATAAATAGGTTTTTTTTCCAGAGAGCAAATCATAAGGATACACGAGTACATCTGTTTATAAATGTGACCATCAGTGAGTAGGGCTGTAAAGACAGCAAATAAGGTAACAAAATACAGTATATATACTGTTGAAGTGCAGTACGTAATATTTTCAGGTTTTGATAGCAATTGGAGTATTCATAAACCTGAGACCATAGTTAGGTGTTAATAATTTTGGCCATATAATATCTCAAATACCTGTGCCCTTTGACCCTTATGTCTATTCTCACCATTGGGCTGTGACCCAAGGACAAGGGACCACTCCATATAGCTGATTATTTTTTTAACATGTAATGTACTGTTCTCCTTTATCAGTGCAGAATAATGATTTGTGACGTATTCTTAACTTTATAAAACTATATAATTCTAAGTTATAATTTAACCAGTTAGACCAGTTGGCTGGCATCACTATTCATACCAAAATGGAAAAAGTTATTACCTTGTACATCTTGGTATATCAAAGCATCAATACATCTAAGGCTAGGCGTTTCTAGTTCCGTGTGTGATGTCTAAGGGACCAAAGCCATGCGGCATCCCCCTGAAAATAGCTCCTGCATCTTTTTGCGCTACAAGTATTTTTGTATGTGCAGTGCAAAGCTAAGGTGTGAACTCTTGCCACTGACTTGCATTGAAATGTGTGTTCTGTGTGTAAACAGGCTCAAGTGTGAACCAGGCCTAAATGTCACTAAGTGGCCTTTTTATAAGGACCAACAGTTCTGCAGTGCAAAAGTGTTTTGTTCTGATTCTGCCCTAACAAGCCACAATACAGCTAACAACTGCTTGGTTCCCTGACTGCACACTTTCTAAACACAGTCATACAGAACAAAAGACTGAAGTTGATTTCATAAGGCAGTAAAGACTGCTCACTTAATAAAATGAATGTCCAATGCAAAGTGTATGTTCACTTAGCTTAGAAAATAAAGTAACGAGTAAGAAGTACTTCCAGTTTTGCAGACAGACTTCACTTGTGCTGGCCGTACAACATGGAGGCCTTCTTAGAAGCTGAGGTGTGCTCATATCCTGTATGGGGAGTTAGGATATGGAGGCACAGGTAGCCAATGCACAGCAACAGAGTAGACAGTGCGTTCCATGTGTTACACTTCCCGTTTTGAGAAGTCAAAAGGATTAGCAGACTTAAAAGGAGTTGTAATAAATGTGAGTAGATCAGATGCTGATGATCTGCCAAGATGGAGAGGGGAATGAAATGTAGCAAATAGCCAAAAGGAGAGTGGAACAGACTGCAGCAGTAGTCAGGATAATGAGCTGTCTAAAGTACACCTGCACAGCATCAGCACATTGCTTGAACACTGAGCAACTGAACTTCCCGGCTTAAGCCAGCTGGGGAGGAGGAGTTGGATGACTCCTCAGCTTCTGACAGGCACTGAATACCAGAGTTGGAGTGAGGACAGGTGAGTATGTTGGCTCTTTGTTATGAAAGTATGAGGACCTTTGGTTTACAAACAAAAAGTGCATGTGTATGATTAGATAATTCCAGACAGTTTGATGAAATCATCAAGTGCAGCTGATTTGACCTCACCCTTGTACTTTAAGGAATCTTTAAGGAATTGAGATGCATCTCTGAAATGTACAGTATAGTATACATTTCTGTCAACTGTATATTGCAAATAGACCAAACCACATAAATATGTATTAAAATCTAAATATGAATTT